CAAATATGTGTGCTCAAATTGTTATCAAAATAACAACAAAAGAGAATCTTATAACAACAGAATCAGTTAAGTTTTAGAACTATGAAAGAGAAAAATATCTTTAAAAAATTGTATTTTTTATCTTAATTGGGTCAATTTTTCCTTATATGCAGAATGTATATGTAGAAACACATACAGTCTTTACAGTAACTACTCTTGTCACATTTTGAATGTTAGAAATAAAACTGATATTTTTTTACATTCAGTGAGCCTTTAAAATATTTTATACTGTTATGGGTATTTTTATCAGGTACTGTATGTGCTTTTTAATTAAATTTGTAGTAAGAAGATGGAAGACAAACGACAATGAAATGGACAGCCTATATTCACATAGGTTTATTTTCACATAGAGTTACTAGCCTAAAATCAAAGCCTTCAGAAAGGTCAGAATGAATTACATTTAAATGTGTTTTATTTATTGTAAAATATCAAATCTAAGCAACTTTCTAATGGAAACACCAATGCCACATGAAACTGTGATTTCCTTATGTAAAATCACTGTTAAGATAACAAAATAATATTTATTACTGTTATCCGTACCTATAATAATCTTCCTTGGTCCTGCATCTGAAAAACTCCAACGTAATTAGGTTTTCAAACAATTCACCACTTGAAAAGCACCATTGGTAAACTCCCTCTATGACACAAGAAAGCAATATTTTAAATATTCTCCCTAAGAGGTACTGTAGACAGGTGTTATGTCCATGTTGGGCTGGCACGGTTCAGATTTTTGACAATATATGTTGTGTTGTTGTGTGAATGGTGAGTCAGCCATGTGTGATGTGCAATTCTACACTGCAAACATTACTCTGGCCTGGGGGAGAGGGGGTCAGCCAGGGATTCATATTCACACCTTAGCAAGCCATGGCAACATCTGCTGAGCAGGTGGCTCATAAGGCAGGTGAGGGATGAAATCATCACAAATAAAATCACATGAGAGTATAATGATCTCAAATACAGCTCTAGCACATGGTATTGCAGAAGTAAATGTAGAATATTTAAACAAATAAAACAATAAGATAAATATTGCCCAGAAAAAAAAAATCATATAATGAGTATCACAGACCTCCAATATTACATAAATCAGAACTTAATTAATACAAATACATATTTCTAACTTTTTAAACCAGTACGTATTGTTAAAAGTGAAATCTTGTATGAAAACAAATCTAACATAAATTTTGCCATACAACATTATTCAACATACAATATTATAAATTAGGCTCCAAAATGTCTCTGTAATGTCATACAATCTAAAAAAATACAGAAGATATCTTTGCTCTTTTAGAATATATATTAATTGGTTTATATACAGTATGTAACATTGTTGTGTTTCAATATACAGTATGTAGTTGATTTTTAATGGAAATTATTTACTTGCATGTTTTTTAATGTAAATGCAGTGCATTGTGTCGTTAAAATCGTATACCTTTCCCAAAAGCATATATTTTTTTCATTTTATTTTAATCTCAGGAGAAACAAAGTATAAGCTTTAGGTATTTTTCTCAATAAATCATTTACACTCTTACCTCTAGGTGATAACTGCTAACTTCTGAGATCTCTAATAATTTAATTTTTTAATCATAAATACAGTATCACCTATAAAATGTATGGTTTAAACACTACATTAAATGAATAGTTTACATTATTATGGGAAATTGATCTCTGAATGTGACAAAAATGTCAATTGGCATCTCCAGTATGCTTTGCTATTTACAACAGTGTTACAAACCACCTGTTAAGCCAAAATCCAGCATCAGGATCTAGCAATAGACTTTCAAACTTTTGTGGTTTGATGATATTTTCCAGACCAAGATATGTTTTAGTTTTGTTATTGTAAATCTTGTCTGTTTTCACTGCATTCTATTCACTATTTAGTATTTACAATTTGCATTTGGCATTGTGAACTTTGGTTTTACTGCTATGGTGATGACACTTTATTTGCAGATTTTCTACTGACATTATACATTACTCCTGTGGGTTCTCCACTTTAAAGGTGTCTATCATTTTAAGATACTGAATTAAATGCATTTTTCTCATGGCAAACTATAAGATGATAGAAGTTTGCAAAGTTGATTAAGTTATAAAACTTGGTGTTATTTTAAACCCCTTGTTGTTTTAAATAACTGTTACACACTGCACAGGATTTATTTTCCTCCACCAATATAACATTGCTCAACTAAGACCCTTGCTTTTTTTGTCAGATGCTGAAATATTGACACATGCCACAAATATTGACACATTCCATAAAGACCAGACTACTGTAATTCTCTTCTTACTACTGTATTTTCTAAGATACTAACTAGTTCAGTTTGTCTAAAGTTTTATGGCTCATATGATAACTAAAAGTACTCTACATCACCATAGAATTCATACCCTTTGTAAATCACAATTTGAAATTTAGAGTGGACTTTAACATTTCTCAGTTTATATTAAAGGCATTGAATGGTTTCAAGGTTATTTTAGGACTTATTTTATGATTATAGTCCAATTCTTACTCTGAGATTTGCTGATTCAGGCCTTCTTACTTGACCTACAGTAAGATCAGTTCTTAGGTTCACATAAAGTGTGTGCAGCCCCACATCTGTGAATTCACTGATCAATCTATCAAGGACTCTGTGACTATGGATATTTTTAAATCTCATTTAAAGACCTATCTTTTCACTTACGTTTGTAATGTATTTTTCAGTTATGTTCTTGGTTTTACCGGGTCCAAAGCTGGGTTTCAAGTTGTTTTGCATTTTTCTTTATTTTTATATCTGTCATATGGATTGTTAGCATCTTATTGCACACTGAACAGCACTCAACCACATACTGTAGCTTTGAATCTAAAATAAAAAAACATAATGACAAATGATCCAACCAAGAAGCAATGTGTAAATACTAAAAAGTAAAGGTCCCCGCATAGAACCCTATGAAGCATCCTGATTAAGTGGGACAACATGAGACTTAAAATAGTTACAAGCCACAAAGGAAAGTATTGGTGATAATTCTATGTGATTCAGTAGCACGCTATGGCACACATACAGTAAATATAGCATACTGTGCATGGTTGAAATTATATGAATCACACAGCTCTTTTTCCTCTGTCTGTCCCTATTGTCCTTTAAACTGTCAAATCCTTGTTGAATTTTGAAATGAAAAAATCTCTACTCCTAAAATTCAGTTCCAAAAACAAAAAGAACACATTACAAAGATTGTAAATGTCAGTTTTACTGAGATATCAACGTACATTTAATGTAAGGAGATACTGAAAACTAACAAACTATTGTTTTTATTATATTCACTGTATAAATGGTACTGCATACCTTATGTGAACACCAAACAGGGTGCCAGACCAAAAATACATTTTTCATGTTCTCACTCTACTCCCTATTGATTGGACAAGAGATTGATTTAATCACTAAAGAATAAAACGATTGTTATTATAGCTGCACCAATGGTAAATGTAAGCAATGGGAGTATTAGTTGAAGCATACCATATACTGTACAGGATAAGTACTTCTATCTCTTCAAAAACTAGTAGCACGTATTTGATCATTTGTCTTATGCTAATATATTGGCCAGATTTCTGCAAATGTTTCTTGTCAGTGAATAGACACACTAGGTCATTGGCAAGATGGAATCACTTGAGCAACTATAAACATCTTCCTGCTGTTCTCCTGTTATTGAATTTCATTTATTCTGCCAACTCAAACAAAACTAATCCTTTCATATAAACAATAATTTCTTAAATCAATGCATTTCCTCTTGAGTCAACCTGAATGCAAGTATCCAAATGATTTTTAACAACAAGGGTTAAGGGTACAAAATTTTAATTAGTGATAAATCATGATTAATCATGATAAAAGACAACATGAAAATAAGAAAGACAACAAATCAGAAATAAGATCTGTCTAACTTCTTGTATTTCATTAAAAAAAGTCAATACCAGGTTTTCTGTTGTACTACTAGCCTAATTGATACACATAATGAGAACAAACCCACTTCATTAAGCTTTGTTTCAGTTTTGATTTTGTGTGTTTTTAATTGTTAGTTTGTTAGTTTTTAATTATAGTATATTTTTCAAAAAAGGCTCTGTTGTTTGCAGTTGTATTACAAAATTAGGATGCAAACATAAGGCCCATTGCCTTGTAACATAATACAGAAATTAGGATGTACAGTAGTTTGATTGTTTAACCTCTGCAATTCAATTAATTTGTTTCAGCTTGAAAGGAGGGAATTTTAAAAATAATATTTGATTTAAAAATTCAAAAGATTCAAAAAAAGATTGAAACATCCTGCATGACTAGTATAGAAAAGCCAAAAACACAGGTTTAACAAAAATTGATGTGAAAAAGATTAACAATTACTTGTTGAGATGTTTAAATAACAATACAGGATTTCACTCATCAATAACATGAACTAAATTTATTGTACTGGACTGTATTAAAAGTTAAATATTATGATGATTGGATATACAACTGGGTTGTCTAATCCTTGTCTCAGACAGGCAGTGTATCAGAAGGTATTCAAGGTCTCTTTAAAGCAGCAACAGCTGAAGAGCTGGGAGAAGCTAATAAATTAGTCAAATTACGCCAGTTACTACCTTATTTTGTTTGGCAAGAGTTGAGTTGGAATTAAACCTGCAAAAACTGGCCCTCCGGGACAAGATTGGACAGCCCTGATGTGCAATCTATCTACTTTACATGTACAGTAAGTCACTTGGCATTTTTGCTTTTTACATGTTTGAAACAGCAATCCTTTTAATGTATTTATGTATGAGCAACCTTTAGTAAATCTAGCCTACTGCTTTTGCAGATCTTTCATTAGGGTATTAAGATGGAAACAGAAATGTTGAAAGAGAATATTACTTAGAAAGGCAAAATAAAAAAAAAAGTTTTTGCCCTTCAATCACATGCCTAAAATGCAAACAAATATACAGTAACTAGATAAAAGTAAAAGTAACGATAAAGACTTACCAGAGTTGGGGTCAGAGTTTCCATCAGCTTCAGTCCTCTTGTCAGGTGAGGCTGGCTCATAGAATTCGTCCTGCGGCTGAACCAGAGGGAGAGGGTGTGAGATGAGCGTTCCACTGCCCACAGGCTCATGGTCTCCTAGACCACTGTCACTGCAGCTTTCCTGGGAGCCATCAGGGAGGTGAAATGTTACACGCCGCTGTGACTAGAACGAAGAGCACAAAACAAATCTGTTAATGCTCTTCTTTTGTTATGTTTATTTTCTGGAGTATTCTATTTAATTGATAATATAATCAAAATGATTAAGTTTTATTTATTAATAACTCTAAACAAATTAAGTCAGACCTAAGTGGCTCAGATGAACCTCATTAATGTAATATTAAATACTTATATATCTTTGAATTTGGATATCCAAAGTACTGTATTTCATGCAAGTTTCCAAAAAAATGCATTCTAGAATTCTAATAACAAAAGTTTAAACAGTTCTAAATCTAAACATACATATAATTTAAAAGGCTATCCACATTTGCTATTTCTGAAAGGAACAAATGTGTCACAGGATGAGACTTTGTGAGTAGACACAAAAACTGGTATGTAGTTCTTTAGAAAAATGAGGTCAAACAACAAAACAAGTGACAAGAACAGAATAATGATCTGATTTGTACACTTTATGGACTGTAATAAACTTCTCTAATATTTTTTCAGCTGGTAAAGTATCTACAATTACATGTTTTGAAATTATGTGCATGATATCTACAGTAAATCACTAAAAAGGGCATTTTGTTAAAATAATCAAATAATAAGTTATTTGGAAATACTGGTAAATACATAAGTTATTTAATATTCTAATGAGAGATGAATGTGAGCCCTTTAAGTCTAAACAAATGTTTCATATTATTAGCTCTTACAGTTGTAATAGAATAAATTCAAAATAGTCAAATATTGGGCTATAAAGCCAGAATATTTCTATTTGTATATCCTGGTAGGAAAGAATGGGTTTCCAACCCTGGTCCTAGACAGACCCAATCCAGATTTTATAGGTCACCCTTTAATCATTTGTTGTTGTTTTTTTTGTCTTTAAAGACTAGGAACTCTTGTAAGCTATTGATCAGTTTAACAAGTACTTTGCTCAATTAAGGGAAGTCTAGTCATTGCGGGATAAAATGTCTTCATGTCTTTGTCCTAAATGTTATCATATATATTTTCCAAGATCTTTAGAAATTGTTGATTTAATGACAACCTCTAAAACTTGCTAGATAGGCACTCCCAAGCTAACTTGGCTAGACACCACACACTTTTAAAAAGGGAACCATTGTGCTTTAGAACCAGTAAACACAAGGACATTTTTAGGGCAGGGATATTTGAATGTAGTATTTTAAACCTGCAAAACACATGGTCCTGGTTGACTGAAAACTTTTCTTTACCAGACTTCTTGCTGACTAAGAACATTTCTAGGCAAGAGTCTAGAGGATTGGGCTCCAACCTTTCTTTGCAGAGCCCACTGCACAGTCATAGGGATTCTAAAGCTTTGCTTCTCACATTCCCAACAAAACAATTCACAATCGCATTAGTGGACTCATATTTCATTCAAGATCTTATCTAATTTAACCATGTGCACATATATGAAGCATAGAAAATATACTGTATAAATATGTATTTTTATAATGTTTATTAAAGATGTTGTTTTATACCGTATCTTAATAGACTTTTTACTGATCATCAGCATTTTCCCATTCAATTCTCTCTAATTTCAGTGCAAAAAACAGAAATAAAATGTTTCAATACTATTTTGATGTAACATTTATACTGGACATCTTTATTTTATTTGTGATTAAAATGAGCATAGCATCAACCAAAAAAAAAATACTTTTAATAACAGAAATTTCAGTTATCATTAGGAAAATGTTTTTGTAGTAGACGTATAGATATTGTATTGAACATGCATATCTTATTATATCACATATTGAATATGCATAGCTTAGGTCAACTCATTACATTGATCAACTTGAAAGTCTTAGTTTTGTAGTGTGAGTGGCCACTGCTGAAAAAATCAATGACACATGTTTAAAATGAGAACTTTAGGGAAGCTACTACAGAATATGAAAACCAAAAGTAAAATTTAACAAAGTCACTGAGATTAACACCCTTAGTCTTTTAAAAAGTGCAGTCAGATTTTTAATAACCAAGTAGTCAGGACTTTGAGTTTATGATCTCACGCAAAGGATGGCAATAACTACAGAACAGTATCCCTTGTCATATTAGGGGCACTGGTCTGGAAATTCTGGCCCAGACTGAAAAGCACCATCATTTACAGCACTAACCTGTTTCCCTTGGAGTTTTCATATCCCATTACTGACACCTAGAACATGCTACATTTTTTAATCTTTATGATTATTGATGCTGTCTGCAGAGAACTAATTCTCAATAGTGAAGTGAGGTTGTTAAGTTGAGGGAAGGTCATGTAAAGTTTTAGATCTCAAGCCAGCAATTGTCACTTTTCTTAAATCAAGGAACAAAGTGTACAGTGAGCTGTCAGATAACACCTACAGATGCAGCCATTCAAAATGCGCGGGCGATACC